TAAATGCATTTCTATTTCCTTTTTTATGTTTTGAAATCAAGTTCTAATTAAATCATTTGAAGAAGTTTAAAGTAGGTTGTGTTGAAATACTGTCAAATAATTTGCGATTCAAAATTTAAGTGTTTGGTAAGAAAAATATATCTGTGTTCATATGGAACAGTAGCTTATGTCGAACGGCTGACTTAAGTATAATGCGACATTCGCAACAAACGATTGCGAATGATTCACTGGCGCCGAGCCGTGGAAGAACTTTTGGCAAATAAACGTGCAAGAAATAGTTCCGATACTAGCAAGTCAATGTTCTTATTAAGTCTCATCAAAAAAATCCTTGTCGTTTAAAGAATAAAAGGAATGCCGCATTATACTAAAGCCAGCCTCCACAGCGACATAAGCTACTATTCCGTACAGATATAGTAGAACTCATCTGCTTTTAATAAAACTGTGTTAAATATTAATAGTGTGAGTGCTTTGTTTATATTATTAAGCAGTATTGGTCCTGTCCCATCCGTGACAAAAAAAGCAAAAACTTGTTATATTTAATTACAGAAGTTGATGTTGTGTTTCGGGTTTGTTACATAATGTTAGAACTTTATTGCAAATGTTTACCACAACTGCATTTTCGTTTCCACATAGTTACCCAGTGGGAAAAAATAATCAGTAAAACAGCCGTTTTCACATTCAAAAATGCATTATTTTTCCCACGGCGATGTCCTTAGAAACGTCAGTCAATTTTGCATTATCAGTAATGCAAGAATTAATGTGATTTAATATGAAATTTAGCAGACTCACCTATTAACTATATAGCCTTGTGGTCAGCTGATTAAGTGACATTTTGGCCAGTTTTGGTTTTTTTCTTTTGTTTATTTAATTTTTATAGTGTTTTTTATCACTTTTGTTGGAGTCTTAGCTTTGTTTGAATTCGTGGTCCTTTGTTTTATTATACGACATCAAGATTACACAGAAAAGTGAAATAAATTCGCAGAGTTTCCGTAAAATATATCTGCTCCAATAAGGATGTTTTGAAATAAATTCGCAGAGTTTCCCTAAAATATATCTGCTCCAATAAGGATGTTTTTTTTTGTCCCACCCGTGACAGAAAATATAACCTAGATTTTTTCCATATAAAAGTTAGATGTAATTTTCTTTAGTATTTAGTAATAACTCAAATAATAGTCAATTAGTTGTAGCTTTATCAAAATGTAGAATAGCTGAGTACTTTATACTTACATCTAAACAAGAAAGAAAATTTTTTGTGTACAAATCTTTCACCCGTGACGGTGGAATCGACCCATTGCAATCATAAGTGTCACTACGGTTAAATCATCTGTGGAAAGATTCGTGCTAATATAACCTTTACCTTTTTATCTGCACTCGGGGTGTATGTTACGTAATTTTGTGACTTTACTTCTGAGACCTTATTACCCAAGGCTATCCCTCTAGGTTAAGGAGGAACTCGGCTGAAGCGACTTTACTTTTGTGGAGGTTTATCTGAAGGACCTTCAGAATTGCGCTTTGGTTCCTTCCCAAGGTTGGATGCTTTCTCCAGCTTACCCGCCACATCACGTCGGTTTAGACTGGCGTCCGTGATCTCGTCTAAGCCTAGATCTTTTTCCATCTCTCCCGCTTTGAGCGTGTTATCGTTGTTGTCCTATGGGTGGCGTTTCTTGAGGCGAAGAAACACACTACCCATTCCCCACGGCATTTTTCCAATACTCTCGTAGAGAGTGTCCTCAACGTCTTGCCGGTTTGGAGGATGTAATCCTGTTCACCCTCGGCGTTTGTTGCCTTGGTGACATGTAACACTCTCCAATCGTCAGTCGGCAGGTCGGGATTCTGTCGTTGTAATAAGCGGAGTGCATGCCCCGGATTTAGTACCTTAACCTTTGGTATCGATGGGATGCAGCTCCTGTCGACAATTTCCAAGGATGCCCCCTCACACAGGTTTTGAAGCGTTTTCACTGCTTCCTTTATACATGTCAGCGAGGGGTCATCCTTGGATTTCATAATTTTGACTCCGCTAAACCACCCTGCTCCATCATTTGTTGGCATGGGTTGGTTTGAGTCGGCTTCCATTCTCGAGAAGAGAGTTTCCAGTAGTTGCATTTCAACCACCTTCGCCCGGTCTTGTAACATTTGGCCCAGGGGGTTGCTTTGGTCAATAAGTGCCACGATCAGGTGTCTCCTGGCAATCTTACTAGCCGCCTCCGCTGCCCTCGACTATGTGGGTTTTTCACCATCGCATCTGACGTTAGGCTTTACAGTCTCGCCCTTGTTCTTCGGAATTTTCGCAGGAGTCAAGGCATCGCTCTCCAAGGAGCGCTGCCTTTCATACCGGCTCCTCCAACCGGTTTGCGAACATCGGATCAGAAGAATTAAACCTTTCCCTTGTCGCGAAGTGAGATCGCCCACTTTCCATTTCGGACTTAGCCCAAGTCAGTCATTCTTCCTCCTCCTTCGTTAGACTGGACTTGTGGCTAAGTCTATTATGAACCTTAAGGGCTGCCTTATATTGCGCTTTCGCTTTCATCCCGTCTTTACTGGGCTTTACCCTAGACCTTTTCGTTACCTCTGAAGAAACACCATCGGGTTTTGCCGGAAAGCATAGAAGGACGTCTTCGTCCAACGTGTCAACGCTGACCATGCTTTCGAGGTCCGAGTTTTAAGGAACTTTGGCACCTCTGTGTTGCGATTGTTGGTTGGCGGTAGCAGCGTAACTGCTGTGAACTGCTCCCTTCACAGCAGAGGTGTGGCCGCTGGCGACACGGTTTCCAGGCTCTCCGTGCCTGCCGATAGTAGCAGCCACTGCTTCTACCGACGTTTGGGATGACATCCCGGCAGATTTTTCTACATCTTCTACCTCCATGTTGAGTCTGTTTTTTTCGGGGAGGCTCAACCCCTAGCGTTTTATACCCCCTCCTGAACCCTGCAGGGGCGGCGAAATGCCCTGTGACCGGGTGGGTAGTTCTGCTGGTGGCAAGAGTAAACAGGTATAGCAAATAGGTTGCCAATGTAATTGAGAAGGTTAACAGGTTTCGTTAAAAATATGTACTTTGGTGCATTGTCGAGCGCAAAAAATTTTTCACCATACACAAAACATAAAAGCTTCTCCCGTTAGAGCATGACGACCCTGGAGTTGTAACAAGTAGTCTAATCTAAGCATACATATTCAGGAACAAGTCCCACACACAATTAGTTTTCACGCAAAAATTGCACAACATATTTCACATATACTGGATTTTGTTCTGTGCGCCTCATAATGCACAGAGCTAAATCTTTATTGCTATTGAGTCTGCATTCATCAAAATCACCATTATAAAACGTGACAATTTTCTTCAAATGTACTGTCTCACCAAGAATGAACTTTTCTAAAGTTTTATAAAACGTTGCCGATTCAGTATCAAATCTTCTTGTCCGGGAGCAAATAACATGGTCAAAAATATCATAATATATTTTCCGAAAATACTATTCAGGTGTGGTTAATACAGGACTTTCAATTGGACTTTTTTTATTCTAAAAAATTTTCAGGTGGGCAATTACCAACCTTTAAAAATTTCAGGTGGGTAGAACTACGCACCATACCCACGTGTTCCGCCGCCCCTAGTAGCGTAGACATATCAGCCCACCTGCAGGGAACGGACAAGTCTATATACCGGCCTCAGCTAGATAGCGCCTGCTTGCATCGCTGCTTTCGGGTGCAATAGCCGAAACGGACGGCGGTGTGGGCANCACCTTTAAAAATTTCAGGTGGGTAGAACTACGCACCATACCCACGTGTTCCGCCGCCCCTGGTAGCGTAGACATATCAGTCCACCTGCAGGGAACGGACAAGTCTATATACCGGCCTCAGCTAGATAGCGCCTGCCTGCATCGCTGCTTTCGGGTGCAATAGCCGAAACGGACGGCGGTGTGGGCAGCGCCACCCATTGCCCAGTCGGTACCCGCGGGAAGGATATAGCTATGGGGGTTATTGCCAACCCATCTGGAAATTAGTTTTACTTTAAAGACAACTTTTGTTACCTGGCTTGAACTAGCCAACTCCTCGCGAAGTAAAAAAGCTTTATTTCAGCAATTCAATAGTATTGCGTAGTTTAGACTCTAAAATTGTGTTTTAAAGGCTTTGCACAATTCAAGAAGAAATACGGTTAAAAGGCTTTTATCTATTGATTCTTCTATTCCCCAAATTCGCTTTATAAACATTTATTTTATTTTCACAATAATTTCTTCGGGATCTAATATTTAAGCATTCTGATCTCAAGTTGCAGTGGTAATAAACATTAGTAACCAAATTTTTGAGTAACTTGTACAAATCGAGAAAATTCTTTTTTGCTCAACTCTATGTAATTTCAGTGTCAACAACTCAATCCTCTCTTAACGCTCAAATATGTATTTCTTCGAGCTTCATGCTGCATAACTTGAAATCGAAGAGTCAAAATATTCAAAAGTAGTCGCAGTTTTAATCCAGACGTGATAAGGCAAACGCGTTGCATGCGCTCGACTCTAAGTCATCCATTGTCTAATCTGATCAGATCAGATTACAATAACACTCGAAGGTATTATCCAGTGAGCTACACGGTCTCCGTGCGTGTTTTACATTTTAATGGACGTTCGCATGCAGCTACATATTCTTCGTAAATACATATAAATATATGTATGTATTTATGTATTGTCGCTTGGTATCATGCATATATACATACATACATATGTAATCGCTCGAGCCGATCGATCGTTATCGCAGAAAATGCAAATATATTCAGGGTATTCATCTACGAGGCATTTACGCGCTTAGATGAATTATATGGAAGGCAAGAATCGAAAGTACAAAAACACGTCTGATTACCCGTTTAAACGAAAGAAAAACATTTTTATGTTTTGGAAGTTATTAAAACCTTCTGAAAACTGGTTTGGATAGAATACCATCTTAAGCCTTGCGAAAATTATTGTATATCTTATGTGTGGTTACAGATCAAAACAATCCAGTGTTATTAAAGTGAGTGTTTCTATGTGACTGCCTTTTAAATCTCAATGTGATAACGTTGTATATTATCAAAGCAGTTATTTATAAATAAAATAAAATTAAATAAATGTATATTCAGTTTTTAGAAGAATATGTTAACCCAAAAATTAAGTACCAGAAAACAATGGTCTAGTTAGGTGTTCTACATTGAACCAAAATAAATATCTTAAAAAATATAGCAAGCACAATCTTAAAACTAGGTCCAGATGATACAAATTTTACCAAACCTTCTTTGCTTCCTAAAGAGTGGCGTAATTAAGCAAATTCTTTTTGCATTATGACGTTTTTCCGGGAAACGACCAATTTGCCCAAATGTTCATTTGTAATTGGCAAGTAGTACTTTGCATTTTACAAGAATATTTTGATGAAATCAGCATAAATTCAGTATGCTTTGTGAACCATTCTCCTTATTTTGCGATATCGACTACATACATATGTATAAATATTTTATTTCTAGAGCGTATAACTAATTCGTTTGTTTATTGTTTCATTCGCGCACTCATTCGGAGTTACATACATTCATATGTATGTGCATATGTAAGTATAATCAGGCATGCCAGCTGCCACGACTTTAGGAGAATTATTGCTGACTTGAGTAGAGCTGCAACCTACTAATACTAAGGGTATTGAGTTGGCTGATTCTGAGCATCTTTTTATTTGTGCCATTGCTCATTCAGTTTTAAAATTTCTATTGTTTCTGTTGTTTACAGCTCAATTGACGACGAAATCGACGGAAATTGCATTGTGCGTGCTCGTGGATTACCTTGGCAGAGTAGCGATCAGGACATCGCTAAATTTTTTCGCGGTCTAAACGTGGCAAAGTAAGTAAAATAAAAAATCCCCATTTCTCTTAATATGAATTTTAAGATTGCCGTGCAAGCCATTAACATTTATTTAATATTTTATTAATATCAATTCTCTTTATATATACATATATGATCTTTAAACTTTAGTCGAATATAGGGAATCACTAGAGCTGGGACGATCCGTGTATTCGGATATTCTTTCAATCAATTTTATTATAATAAAGTACAAGTTTTGAGTAGCTAGGAATTGCCGTTAGATAGATAGAAAATACTTTATATGGTAAAAATGCAAAACACCTTCTACAAAAAAAAATTCTCTAAAATCAACGCGATTTTTGACTAACTCCGAACTTGCATTGTTTTTACTAAACAATCTGATTAAAAAGTTCAAAATTTTGATGAAAATTTGCTGAATTTTCGCGAGTTTTGCACAAAGTTCAGGAATTATATTTTTATGTTTTTTTTTTGTTGCTGAATGAACCATATTTTTATACAAAATTTGCGGAAAAATATTAGAATAAAAATTGTTGCATATATTGTGAAATATTTGCTCTGCTAATACTTTCTACACTTACACTTCTTACACTTCTTAAAAAGTTTGTACCAGTGTTCATTCAAAACCATGTAATAAAAGAAATTGCAACTGAAGAACCTTGGTTTTTACAACCTTGTGTAACTACTCTTTAGAGAAACAATAATATTAGCTCGGATCTTTCTTTATTAAGCTAACGACGTGTACACAATGTACATATAAACATATGTATATATCGTCGACCAAACCTCATTTTAGGGCAAATTAGTTAAGCAACAGTTTTGGACCGATGAGGGTTTTTTTAAAGCGTGGTCGAAGACCGCCAACGCGGAAATAAGATGAACGTAAAAATACTGTGGACTGCGTAGTGGGAGTTGGATTTTGAATTTTTTTGAAGCCCACAGAAGTGCAAACATTCATACTAATCTACTAGTTTCTCCTATTGCATATATGTAGGTAGAACGACTTAAGCCTAGGCAACCCCAGTTTATTCTAAAATCGGATTTGGCATTAGCAAACAAAGACAATACATGCTAGAATGGGTCTTTGAGGCTCAGTTCAGCAGGCACTGATAAGAGGCCAAAAGGTTTAGATTGATTATTATCAATAAAATAATTATTTTAGCAAAGTAGTATTTTAAACGACTTTTTTTGCTCTTGTTTTAATTTCTATTTTCCTTAACGCTATTCTTGTTTACAGGGGCGGAGTAGCTCTTTGTCTTTCGCCCCTCGGCCGACGCAACGGCGAGGCTCTTATTCGTTTTATATCGCAGGAGCATCGCGACATGGCATTAAAACGTCACAAACATCACATCGGCAGCCGATATATCGAAGTTTATCGCGCCACTGGTGAAGATTTCTTGGCCATAGCTGGTGGAGCTTCCAATGAAGCGCAGGCTTTCCTTTCAAAAGGTGCGCAGGTTATAATACGTATGCGAGGTCTCCCCTATGATTGCACAGCAAAACAAGTTGTAAGTATGTATAGTCAAGTAATTAAAAATATATTATGATTAAGATTACTATATGTGCATATATGAATGTGAAGTGCTTATAAATTTTCCCTTTTTTTACTTATCACAAACTAAAAAATCTTCATCATCATCGCATCCCTAATTTTTATAAGATTAGGATCAATATTAAAATTAAATATCACAGCATTTACTTTCCAATATCAGCGATTCCTGAAATAAGGCGTCAACACCTTTCTTGTCAGTGCACTACATTTAGATATCTACATATGCCCGCCCAACATAACTTCTGCGACTATTTGACTGTCACTGAACAATTTCTTTTGCAATATAGATAAATTGTCTACTGATATAATTGCTGTATACGAGGCAATGTAAAGATCATTAAATAGTTCAGCTTCCTTGTCTTAAACGGAATTCTTGGCTGACTTGTTCTAGAAAAAGAATCTGCTGCAGCGATAAGTTTAATCGTTGCCACATGGGTTAGGTTTGGTTAATCTGGCCGGCGTTGAGCCGCATATAGACCGGTAGGTCCTCAGCGTTACGCGTTAAAGTAAACATCACAAAGGATATCAAAGTTGTTTGCGAATTTAAGTAGAAATTTCAGCCCTACTATTGAGATGTCCTCTAACTTCTCGAATTGGTAGGATCCCAAGCATTTTAGTTGTGTTTTTAACAGCGCAGGGCATTGGCAGAGGAGATGCTTCAAAGTTTCCGCAGTCTTCGCTCACGAAACTTCCTGCACCTACCCACGCTAGTGATACTCATTTTTAGTACGAGAGCAGCGATCCGCAGTAATCAGCAAGTAAGCGATCCGGCAATAACTCTGCAGTCTTCCTTTGATAGCCGTAACAAGAAGCGAGAATAGTTGCTTCCGCCGTTTTGCCCTGAACTGCAGCCAGCTGTTCAATTTAAACTTAGTTTACTTAATCTAAGTTTAAGTGATTTGTTGCAAATTATTTTAAGTTTCAAGCTAAATCTTTTTACTCATGATCCAAAAATAATAATTTTCATTTTCCATGGCTGGAAAAAAATTTTGATTTAAAAGCAGATTATTTAAATGTACGTTTGCATACTTCATAAACCCTTTTTTATGTAACATATTTGAGGACATTGTAAATATCCGAAATACTCCTTTTTAAGAAAAGCGAAGAAAAGTTGGAGTTTTTGGAATTAGAAGAAGATAAAGCACTGGAAATGTATCCTAGAGCTTTGCCATTGCTTGAGTTCCGGCAACAAGTACCAGATTTAAAATATCCGCTGTTGAAAACAACTGCGAGCTGTATATTTTAAATTTTTGGTACAACGTATAACTGTGACTCTTTGTACTCTACAATGAAATTCGTAAAGCCAAAATACTGCTCACAATTAGTTGGATTCGCGTGCCTGTTAAATAGTGAAAGTTATTAAAAACTATCAGCTTTTTGCGTTCGCGTACGCAAAAAAAATCCAATTTAGCGGTAATTGAGAGAGTAAAGTGACATTTCATTTTGAGGGGAAGCTGTCAGTTTCTGCTGGAAAAATTTTTGCCAACAGCAATTTGCCTACAAGAAAACAGCTGGTTGAAATTTACGCAAATCCCTAAATTGAATTTGATGGTTTGTAAGTTAAAATAGTCAAATTCGACTAATTAGACTTATAAGGAGTAAGTAATTATTCGTTAAGTCAGTGAACTCAAGAGAATAAGACTTCGGGATTTGTTTTCTTACGTTTTCAATTTTATACTTTTGAATGCAAACAAAATTTCTATAAGCTGTTCGTCTAACTTGGAAGTGTCTGCAGAGTTTCTGTTCGCGTGCTATTTTGGATATTTATTCCCGTGAAAGAACAGATGACATTTCGCTGGAATTTTGCTGTTGGACTTTTTTTACTGGAGATTTTAAACGAACGTACCTGTTGGCTAACCAACATTTAACAGAACTGTTACGAACGGCCTCAACTGACGTAAAACAAGTTTGGAAAATTTGGCGAAAGAGATCTTTTGAATTTTCTTTAATATCTATCTTACGTACATTCGAATAATATTAAATTAATGTTTTTCATTTCTAATAATAATTTTATTTAAAAATAAAACTTTTGTTATTGTTTTTTTTTGTGGTTCTTTGTAGCATTTAGAATTTACTCGTTGCTCTTTCGGCCTCGGCCTTGCCCTGCTATATGAGCGAATTGCCTTAATTGCCGCCCGACTATCTACGTATAGGTTTACTTTTGAATCGATTGTCGTTTCGGTGTAGGCTAGCTCTGCTGCTATCCTCATAGCGAAAACCTCTGCTTGAAATATGCTGCAATGGTCAGGTAACCTTACTGCCCGCCTGACGTTCAGTTCCCTGCAATAAATCGCGGCAGCCACTCCCGTTGCCATTTTAGATCCGTTCGTGAAAATGTTTAGGGATCTATTGCTAAATAGGTTTCATTCCCTTGCGCCATCCCTCCTCCTCAATCGTTGTGCGAAACCTTTGTTAACACTTAAAGCTTGGTGCCATGCAGGGATGAAAAATGGAAATTTCAGATTGTCCCTAATATCATGAAATAAATGTACCTAAATGAGACAAATTGTACCTAACAAAGTTTCAGCATTCATTTGTAGGTTTTTTTTATAAATTTTACTTAAAACATGAATACAAAAGATAGATGTACATTAAACATGATTAGGTTTTTTAACTGAGCCTATATCTGTATACTATTAGTCTAATGGGAATCGGAGAAGCGTTGTTTTTGTCTGATTTTGGCTACTGAAAAATATTGGCGAAAAAGACTAAAAACACACTTTGGGAAGTATACTTCGTTATTCAGCTTTTTATAAAACAACAGGAAAAGTCTGCTAATAATATCCGATTCCTTTTAATAGGTGCAGCAAGTATAGAGAAAATAATCAAACTGCCGTAAGTAACTTCGAAAGCATTTTAAATATACTAGAGTGCCAGTTACTGTCGAAATTCGACAGTTTTTCTAGTTTTAGAAGCCTTGGAGAGGTTTTCTAACTTAACACGTAGCAAAACTTATACGGTACAAATTAACTAACCGGAAAATCTTCTGCTAAACGTAACTAAACTTTTTTTCATCTGAGAAGGACTTTGGAGGACTTCGGCAGGACTTGGAATTGACCCGATACATTGAAGTTTATCGATAAATTTCAATGATTTGATACATTTCGATAGTTCGATGAATTTCAAGAACACTAAAGTTCGATAACTCAACAAAATTCGTTAACGCGACCAATTTCGACAACTGTGAAATTCGATGGCTCGATAAATTTCGATAACTCAAAAATGTAAAAACTTTTGATACCTTTATAAATTTTTACTTTTGACATCTCCACATTTTTCGAAAACTATCTAAACATTTTGATAACTCGTTACACTCTGTTAAGACGATTAAATTCGATAAGCAGTAATAAATCGATAAGCTTATATAGCCTTGAAACTTCGATAAATCTATATATTTTGAAAATTCCATAAACTTTGCTTTGTTGAACCAACCAATTTCAGTAGATCAATAATTATCGATAACTCTGTAAGTTGAAAGAACTCCATGCATTACGACTCCTCGATATATTTTGTTAAGTCTATAAATAATGATAATTCAATAAATATCGATAACTTGATACATTTCTTTAACTTGACAAATTTCGATAATCCCACACGTTTTTAAAGCTCGATAACTATCCGTAAATTTGGACAACTAAGTTTCTGTGTCTATAAATTTCGACAACTCAGTAAACATTGATCAGTTTGAATAATTCGATACGTTGCGATAACTTAATAAGCATGGATAAATTTCGATAATTATAAACTTCGATGATTCGATAAATTTCAGTAACCTTTATGGCTGATTTTATTTCGATTCCTATCTTTTAACCTAATTCTTATGTATTTCTCATTGTCTCCATTTTCGCCTTTATCTCGATTTTTGTCTTTATCTTCACTTTTGCCTTTTTTTTGTCTTCATCGTTATCACTTGTTTCCTTATCTTCATATTTATCTTTATTTCAAAGTTTAATTTCAAATACTAAGTAAAACAAAATGCGAAACAGCTTAAATTGAACAGGTTGTAAAAACAACCATACACAAATATCGAAATTTTTAAACGACGTTTTTCAACCAATTTCGAAACTATAAAAACTCTCCTCATCTCCAACCGTGTTTTTGGTTTTGAAATCGGTAACTTTACCTTGGTCTTCATCTTTGTTTTTATCTTTCACATCTTTGCTTAAATCCTTTTCTTTTTCTATTCACGTAGATGAGATGAGGTGCGATGACGTGATAAGATGTGACGTGATTTTATGTGATGTGATAGGATGTCATGTCATGCGTTGTCATATCCTCTGATGTTATGTCATATGATGTCATACCATATGATGTGTCATGTAATGACATGTCATATCATACGATGATATATCATGTGATGTCAAGTCATGTGATGTCTCTTCATATCATGTGATATAATGTGATGTGATGTCATTTAATTTGATCACATTCCATGTTCCGATTATTATATGGATAACCCTGTTGATAACTGTGCCGATAAAAGTACCGATAACGATATCCATAAACATATAGAAAAATACGATAAATATAGCAATCATCAGTATCGATTATTGTTCATATCGATAACAATATAAATCAATTATTTAATCGATTATTATACCGATAACAATATCCATTATTGTATCGATAACAATATAGATTATTATATTGATTATTATATCGATTACAATAGCTGTTATTTAATCAATAACAGTATCGATAACAACATCGATTATTTTATCGATAGCAATGTCGATTATTATATCGATAAAAATATCTGGATTATATCGATAACAATATCGATCTTCATCCTCATCCTTTTCTTCATATTTATCTTTATTTTCAAACCGCTAAACCGCTGAGAACCATTTCCATGTGCATTATTCCCCTTGAATTCGACAATTTACTCCCAACCAACCAACTGCCGCTAAAGAAGTTTCACTTCATAAATTCAAGAAATGTTCTTACCCTTTCAGT